TTTATGACCAGCACCTGTATAAAAAAGCCACATTGTGAAAGACAGACAAACAGCTCACCTTCCTTGAGAAGCCATCGATTGCAAAAAAAATCACAAAGTTGTACCTGACAGAAAGACAAGCAAACAGCTTAGTTAAAAATGTAGTCATGTAAATTATTTGTGATATGACATTGTTTGCAGTTTTAGAAAAAAACCTTATCAACTTGTGATTTGTATCAACATGGACAACAGACAAAGGCGCAGGAACGCAGTATGTCCTCCTTGCAATGCAAGACAGCTGGATCATCCTGGATATTATTCCAGCCCCATCCACACGCTGCAACGACAACTTCACTCTGTTCCAAGGGATGCGATGTCCCATAGCTTGGAGAGATCCTTTTACCAGTCTGTACCCTGCATGAGGCATTCTGGCTTTTATAGACCTAACTTTCTGATCCAACACATCGTCCGGTATGTCAGAATAACATTTTCTCACAGAGAAGCCATGTTCTTTCACACGCTTGTAGATTGTGGACCTAGAAACCTCACAATAGCGAGTCAAAGATGTTAGTGGTAAATTTGTACCAAGCAGATCCTGAAGTGTCTGACTTGATATGTTCAACCGGGGCCTGCCTACATTCCCATTCCATTCAGCCACAGCCATATTATTAAACTGTGGAGTAACAACCCTCTGTGAAAGAAAAGAGTTGACAACTTCAGACAACTGCTGAAGACACTCTAGCACATTGTCTGGAAGGTCAATATAAGTTGCTCCAGCTCTAACAAAACGCAACTCTTGAGAACAAACATGACTCAAGTACTCAAAGTCAATTGGTTGGGTGTTTACAACAGAGGCAACTCTATCCCTGACTCTCTGCAGTAGCTGTTGTCTCATTGATTCCTGTAAAAAACAAAAGTACAAAAAAATAAAATAAAAAACACATGATAGAGTAAGACAAGAAAGATGGCTGGTCATACTGTAATATTAATTAGGTGAAAACTAATGAATGTGATCACACAGCAAAAGGCGTAAAATGTATTGATAGACCA